CTGCCCAGCCAGGATGACGGACTCCAGCTCCAAAGAAAATGATTTCACTGCATGCGATGCGAATTAGTTGCATTGCCTAATGAAATTCCACTTGGAATGATCAAATTGACTGGCTGGCCATAAACTGTGCAAAGTGGACTGTGGATGGCCATAACTGTAAAATGCAAAGAAAAATAAAATGAGGAAACTCAACTCACATGGAAATATGTATTATATCTACAATTGAATATATTCATGCAAAATACCTTTGAGCCGGGGCAATGCAATGCAAAGCAAAGCAATGCCAAAATCAATAAAGTTTCCATAAAGTGTGCCAATAAACCGAACAACTGACAAAACTTTGAATAACTCTGATGAGGTGCAGCTCGCCTCACCTGTCGCACCTGTCGCACCTGCACGTGTATGAAAAGAACAGCGAACGAAAACTTTTGCTAACCCAAAAGAAACACAAAAAATCAAATTCAAGAAATGCATAAAACTACATGTTTCCAAATTGAGATATATGTATATACACACATACATAAATATGCATATATATATGAATGAAAGAAATCAAAATTGAGAGTTGAGAATACAAAGTGAAACTGGGCAATCGTTAAGGCTTTTGTTGAAGGGGATCGTTGGCAGGGGGCGGGTGGGGCAGTCATTGAAGTGAATTGAAGTGATGACGGCGACTCTTGTTAGTCTTTGACTTTGTACGAATTGTTATCGTTACAGTCACTTATAATAGTTGCTGTTGTTGTTGCTGTTGTTGTTGTAACTGTCAAATTGGCAACACGAAATGACGTTGTTGTTGCTGGCTTGTTTTGTAAACGGTGTCGCACACAAGAAATATGCCAGCCGAACTGTGCAGCACATAAAAGCCACGGCTGGGCAGCTCTATCAAATTAGCTCGCTATTAGCCCTTTTTGTAAGGCTGACGATGCGTGATTAGCGACTCTCTGTGTGTTGGCCCATTGTCTGGGGCATTACACGTGCGAAATGGCGGGCATTGAAGGGCGTTCGGCACACTCCCCACCTTGCTCCGCCCCGCTCCACCCCACCGATTGAGCAGTGTGGAAAAAGTAGCGTTAACTGAGTGCGTTGCCATAGCTAATGCAGTTTGGACTTTTTACTGTTTGCATTTTTTTGGTTTCCTTTCGCTTGGCATTAGGGGGAAACTGTTGTAGTATTTTGGCAAAGAAACGCTCTTTAATCTCACAAGTCACGCACTGATTTTGCAATTTGCATGCAGCGACCGCTAGATGGCGCCAACCAGCGGAACGTGTCTATCGCAACGAGCGGCAACAATCAATATCGGAATTTCCATTGCAGCAGCAGCAGCAGCAGCTACTAGAAATTTTATGCAAACACGAAATTTCATAATTTACTTAAGATTTCCATTTGGCAGTTTTTATTCGAATGCATTTCTTCAAACGGCATTCTTAATGCCCTACTCAACGCACTCGGAATGGCAGCGGCCCACAGGTCGTATGCATAATATATCTATTATCCATACGCATAGCCGATGGCCAATATTGTTGATGGTATTGAGACACACACACATATATACACAGCTGCTGGCCGAGCAGTTTAGCATTTGAAAATTAAACATTTTAGCTTTCAATTTCAAAATGGACAACTCACAAAATGAATGCACTTTCGCTTTAGCATTCCAATTTGCATAGAATCTGAGATTTCTTGCCGCACGTTGTTAGTGGAGCGGAACAGAAGGAGTCTGAAGTGCAGTGGCTGAGCTGAGAGGGACTTTATATTCATTCACCCGTTTCCATTTGCTGCATACAAATATATTTAATATAGTGCTCGATTGTCATGCTATTTGAGGCTAAGAAGCAACTCAATTCATAATTATCGCATTAACAAACAGCTCGTCCGATAATCGAGTTAAGGAAAGATCATTTCATAATGCGCTTTTGTGCACTTCTTAACAGCTTCATTACAGTATAAGCTGTCCTTATTAATTCCCAACAATAAAAACGGGCTTCCCTGCATTGCCTTTTCACCGCTGCTTACCTTTGTACGGGCCCCTTTTGTTGACTGCCTCTGGCAATGCATTGATATCGATAACATTCACTGGGCCACTGCGCCCTACCTTGGGCGCTTTAAATGCATGCATGCATGCACACACACATACACACACATACACACACATGCACGCACACACCCACACACACACACACTCAGAAGGATACTTGTATGCATACATTCATTGCATAAAGCCCCGAACAACTTTTTCATGCTCCATTGTGTTATAAATATTCATAAAAGCGCGCCATTTTTTGTTGTTTTTGTCTTTGTTGTTGTTCGCCTTTTGTGGGCGCCCGCCCACAACTAAAGCCTTGATTTCTTGCATTTCGCTTTGTTGCTATGCTCCATGCCAAATACCTCACCAATATGCCACGCCCACAGCTGAACGCCTTTCGCTTTGCGGTAACCGCAAACTATGCTTCTAATACCGCGATGGCATAAATTTAAAGCAGCAGCTGCGGTTTTTCCACTGCTTCCACTCGCTCGCTCACTGGCTGGCTGGCTCGATATTTGCACGTTGAATGCGGGGCGAAGGAGGAGCGAGGATGTTTACATGCCACACTGATACCAGCAGCAGCAGCAGCATCAGCAGCAGCTACAAACTAACCGGGTCTCGGCTTTAAACCAAAGTATTTTATGCTGCTAATTGATTTTTCAAACCCAACTATGTTTTTGCAGCATTGCTGCCTCGGCGCTTTTGTTTGGCGTTCAATTAACGGGAATTTGCATTTTATCTAAAAACACAGTCCATATCACACACGCACACACACACACACACCTACAATCTAGCACGCCAAGAGCTGCTTATAGTAAACCACATTTCGAGCCCGCGTTAGACAAGAGTTCTTTTCTTTTTTCCACCCTCTCTCTCTCCCTCTCTTTCTCTCTGGCAACATATTTGCTATTGCTGAGCACTAAGTAAATAAGCAGCTAAAAACATTGTTTATTTGGCATTGTGCACATTTTTTATTACAGCTGCAAACTCTGATCTTTGAAATCAATCAACTATACCAATGTTTACTAAATACCGTCATTGTAAACAATTCGTCAAAGCAAAGCACATGAAAACAATATTCACAAAAATCATGAATAAAATCATAGCTAGATAGCTGAGAATTACAAGGTAAAGTCCGACCTTTTCACAGAATTGAACAATTTATTAAACAAAATGTAGATATAAGCTACAGAATAAATGACTAATATTATTTTTGTTCTTAAATATATATATATTCATATATATATATACCAATTATTTCTATTTCTGTGAATTATTCTTTGCTCACTACAGAACATGTTTTACCAAATATGTATATAAATTCGTATATTCATTTGCATTTAAATATTTTGATTTTATTTTAAGTGCCATTATACATACTCATATGTGTGTATGTTTATTCTAACCTTCTCTATACTATTTATAGTAAATCATATTACCTTGCCATAATTTACTCAATCATTGGCTTAACCATTTCCTGTTCACTTACAATAGAATTCTTTTACTAGAGCAGCTTAACATCAAATGTTGTTAACATGCCTAAGCTGTTTGCTGTTCATAGTTACAGAATTCTTTCGCGGTTAACAGAGCACGTCAAGGCTGCTGTTAATTAGCAGTGCGCTCATTGTCTACGCTTTACATCTTTAGCTGTGATCAAGCAGTAAACGAATTGCAATGCCCACATGGCTAAATATGTCTGGCCGAGACGCGTAAACGATCTTTGCGGCTGGCCATCCAACAATGTATATATTTAGCTTTAATAACAATTACTGCAGCGGCTGGAAGGAGGGCTGGCAGCATCATAAAATTTGATGAGTCGTGGATACATAATGCATGAGCTTGACCACAAAGATGACCACAGACAAGCCAGGCACATTGCAGTTGCCAACAGGTTTCAAGGTCAAGCGGCCGCAGCCAAATTAACATTGAAACTGCAGTCTGTTACATGGCGCGCAAACCGGTTGTCTTCTTACATTTGGCAATTGCGACACATGCAGCATTAACAGCAACAAGCGACAGCCGACAACATAAAATAAAATGGGAATAAAACAACAATGCTATGACATTGAATTGTAAATGCAGGCGATAAAAAAAGACCAAAAGACAAAAGTGGACAGTAAAAAAGAGTTCAGCAAAAAGAAGAAAGAGTCCAGCAAAAGTAAATAAATGTAAGCCGCTGTCGGATGTGCGATGCATGTGCAATTTGTTTGTGCAAAAAGTAACAACAGCAACAACTGGCAGCACACAGATTACGTATATGCAGCGTCTGCCAATGTCCATATCAATGGTCAGGGATTGCCGCTGCTGCTGCTGCTGCTGTGCTACTGCTGCTGCTGCTTCTTCTTCTTCCGGTGCTGTAAAAGACATTGACATTTTTCGCTCTACTTTGTTGTCGCCCGTTTAATGCTCTTTATTTTCAACTTCTTTTTGTACGGCTCTTCCTCTTTTTATTTGATTTTTTGCCATGGCCAACGCCGCATTACGTCACTTTCACTGCACTTTGTGGCTTAAGCCCCGCCCAGTCCGCCTTCTGTTTACCATGCTGCCTCCGCTGCTGCTGCTGCCTTTGTTGTCGTTGTTTGTACTAGTTATTTGTTGGTACAAACAAGTGAATTGCAATAAAAATACTCGTGCTTTAATTTATGGCTGCGTGCGTGCGACTCTCTTTGGGCTATGATTTATTTGAGACATTTTCGGGATCGCGTTTGCTTGGCCCGATTTCTGTTTTCGGTTTTTCTGTTTGTCTCGCATAATTCATACTCGTTTTCGTAGTGTTTTTAGCTCAAGTTCATCAGCTCAGTATCAACATCATCTGAATAATGTTTTCAGCTTCCGACTGCGTCTTAATGCATTTATCATTCCAAGCGAAGACAAATTAGCCAAATGATCGCAAACAAAGGTCTGGAATGTATTTAGCGAGATTTGCAGCCGCAGCGACAGCCTCACATTCTACATGCCCAATCAAGTTAAGTGCTTATCAAAAGTTAAAGTCATTAAAGCCATCCTCATTGCTGGCTTCTTGCTTTTCGCCTGCCAGCTCCAACTCGGGCGTCTTCTTGCTGACCTTTACTCTGAAATTTATTAATCTGGTTACCTCTTCGTACACCTGCACCAGCTCGAGCAGTGCGAAGTATCTGCCATCCTTGATGAGCCACGGCAGCACGCTAACATCCAAGGAGGCGTTCTCCACGTAGTAGAAGCCCGACATCAGTGGGCATGACATCAGAAAGGTGGACGGAATCAGAGGCTCGCCGTGGAATTTCTCATTTGTCATGTTGCGCAGCGACTCGAGCGACTTGCAGAAGTCCACATTTTTTAATTTGAGCATCTCAAACGAGTTCGGCCCGCCCGGCACATCGTCCAGCCGCCGCACAAAGACCTGAATGAGCAATTTGCCAGGAAAGTGCACCAAAACAGTCAAATTGAAGTCGAGAGCGTCAGGTTTACGAACATCATAGCTGACGAGCATGTCATTGGGCACAAACGACTTGGAGTAGAACTCATCAATTTGCATGTTCAGCTAGAGAGAGAGAGGAAGAGAGAGAGAGAGAGAGAGAGAGAGAGAAAGAGATAAAGGTGGCAATCGAGAGAGCTATTACAAGAGTCTAATTGCCGTTATATGATATACTTACACTCAATGCCTGCGCTGCCAGCCAGGTCAGAGCCAGCACTCCGCGATAGGAACTCATAGCGAAATGGCCAGGGTGAGCACTTCATTTTAGAGTCTCCCAGCGACTCGCTTCGTTTTCAGTTCAGTCACGCCACGTCGCCTGACCTAATGGATTTGTTTGCCAGCCACGTTTGGGCATATTGGATGCCCCGATGCTTATCAACTCATTTGTATATTCGGGCTAAACGAGGCTCTGGGCGGAGGGCGAGGGCGTGTGCGTGATTTGTTTCAGCTTAGCAGCTAAACGGTTAGACACTAATTTGTATGTGCTGAGTCGAGTGTTCTACGATCTAGGCAAAGGTCGCCAGCAGTTCCCATCTGACCTACATATATTGTATATGCATATCTGTATATCTGTATATTATATGACCATCATTTGTGCTACATCATTGAGGCGACAAATGTGAAGTGAATGTTACGCACTTTTATAGCTAATTCCAAGACGACTTGCGACAACTTTACAATCTTCATTTGCGAGATGTGCGAATCACATGTCCATAGAGGGGGCATATAACATAAATAAATTGCCAGCTCGGGCCAGCCACGCCCTTAACTGAAATGCCCATGGGCACAGAAACGGGTTAACAAGAGGCGTTGCGCGCACAGACAACTCGACGACAAGACGTGACAAGACGCTGCGCTGATCATGATGACTTGATCAAAGAGCTTTCAAACAATTTTGCTGCCCAACCAAACAAGCTGCAACTATTTGCATTAGCTCAGTATCATTTGCATAAATAGATAAAACTAAACAAATTTACATCTTTTTGGGTGTTTTCGTTAGCAAATGCTTTGTCATGCTTGCTTGCTTGAGTCGGCTCACTCATTCTGATGGTCTCCATTCATTTCCGCTGCACTACATTCGATAACAATAAAAAAATAAAATAAAAAAAGTAAGAAAAGGTAAATATGAAACGACATTGACTTTGACTGATCCCAAATATACAGACATTCATATTCTCTGCTGCGTTTGTCTTTATTCGGCAGCTTTTTCGACAACGCCCAGCGACCAGCTAGCGTTTATAATATTTCGGTTTTGATTTCAATATTTCGTCTTGGCGCTTCTAAGAGCCGCAAATATTTATGGATCTGTTTTTCTCTTTTTATGTCTTTAAAACTTCCAAATTAATTTTAATTGCCTTGTCCATTGATGGATTTACTTGAGGTGCGAATTATACTTGATCTAGCTCGAAACGCAGATTACCTGATTTCCTTTAGCTACGACATTTGAGAAACTCGAGCACACACACAAGTGTTAATCAATTAATGTCAATTTTAATGGGCTATGATACGGTATTTTATCGTATGCATAGATACAAATTCTGTTTCCGCATATTGCAAYGTTGTTCTTAAATAAATAAAAGACAAAAAATAAAAGTCATGATTGCCGACGTTTTGTTGACTAATTGATAATTAACACTGGAAGAGTGCTCGGCTACATCATTCTAGAAGCTCTGTTAAGGTGCTCTTCAAGGTGAATTGCAGAGGGCTGTTATAGTAGAGCGGCTTGGTACAGAGCTCTGTTACCGAACCTGTTAAATCCTGTTACAGGGCTCTGTCACTCAAGCAGATGAGTTTCTGCAGCAGACCTCTGGTTAAACAGGTCTGGAGCATGTACTAAAAGCTCTCGAATAATCTAGTCCCCTTGATCTGTGACAGAGATCTATTAGAGAGCCCCTGTATTATGATTGACATAACCTTCAGTTCAGCTATGTAAATCTGAAACGCTTAGCTGCACAAAACTGCGTTCGAAAAGCAGATGAGTTTTTGTGAAAAAGTATTTATTTATCCATCAATAATCATGTTGTCGCCTTCAAAGTAATCGTACTTAGTATAGAGTATATTTGAACAGCGTCTAAAACTTCTTCAGTGGCACAAGCAGCTCACATGGGCCCGGCTCCGGCTCCGTCTCCGTCTCCGGTTGCGTTTCCGACTTTGCCTCTCACTTAACCAATGCAAACAGAGGCAGGCGTGTCTCTCATCTCTGTTGTTGTTGCACTGCCTTATAAATATATGCTTTATTTGCAAAGAGTGCCACGAGCAGGTGACCAGCAGGGCCCCAAGTCTTGACTGCGCCACGTTCGACCAATTTGCAATTTGCAATTTTGGTCAGTTTTTCTTTATTTTTATTTATTTTCTTGCCGCCTGTATTTTTTGTTGACCAGACTCGTTTATTTATGCGCTTTTGTTTATGTATCGCCAAACATGTCTGACAATGTAATATGCGTAGTTTACATACTATATTATCATCGAGTGATGGGTTTCTTTTTGTGCTTCATCTTTTTTCGGGCGTCAACTCTTGGGTATAAAAGCCACTGGCACTCTGACCACCAAGTGCAGTTAAATTTTTGGATTAAGCAGCTCTACAGTTAACCACTATGAAGTATATCGCATTGGTAAGTGTTCAATCGACAGCATTCCAAGCGTCTCTCTGGCTTCAAGGATAACATGTACATTCCAACATTTTACAGGCCCTTTTCATTTGCCTGTTGGCTGTGGCTCTGGTTGCCGCTGTGCCAGTAGATGAGACCTTGCAGGGCGATAACATCTACGGCCAGGCTGATGACGTGCACAATCCCTACGATGCTCAGGCCATATTCAAGCTGAAGAAACTGAAGAAGCTGCTGTTGGGCTAGGTCCAAATGCCTGCCAGCCAACTAAACCTGTTGACTCTAGTCTAAATACCACGTATGAAACTGGGAACCTAAACCTCTCCGCTTGGAATACATTAAACGCTTCGCTTAGAGTCGTAAACGCACAAATCAATTGCATACTCATCCTATCTGTATACGTAACACAATAAATGTAATTCTCATAAAATCCAACAACACAAACGCAATCTCTTCTGCTTTAACAATTGGGCTTCAGTTGGAATAGTTTTCACTGGGAACCAAGCGCTGATCAACCATGTTGACTGCCTGATTAACATTATGTGAATTTTGTCTAAAAGGCGGCTTGTTTGCTATTTGTCTTAACGATTTACATGCTATTAACTTGCTCAAATATATATCTAAAATGAGTTTTTTAATTCTTTTGATCATAGCTAAATTGAATTGCGTTTTGTATATAGCATTATATGTGTCTTATATAAACATATAAACTGTTTGCTGACATTGACCTTTATAAATAACTAATTTATAAATGCGAATTGTTGTCATGGCTGTAAATTTTGTTTTTAGCAACTAGCAGCTAATATAAATGCTAATTTTTCAAGACTCAAATTATTTAACGAGCAACCTAAGTTTGCTTTAAGTTTTCTTATAAATGTGATTTTATTTTATATACACACATATATATTCCTTAACCTTTTTTCCATCTCTCTATATCGTATATATCTGATTTCCGTATTCCTAAATTTTCTTGAACTTTCCATTCGTCTTTTTTACACTTACATTTAGATATTTTTAATAAAAGACTATACATTTATTTTAAATATTTTTCTTTTATTTAAATATCCCTTATTTTATTTTTCATCACTTTCTCATTGGCAATTTCTATTAATTTAAAAACAAGTTTTACTTTAAAATTCAGTTTTTAATATCATTCTTAAGAACTAAACACAAAATATGCTAATTAAGTCCATTTGCTGTTGGCATTTAACCCAGGAAGAGGAGCTTCTTCAGCAGCTTGAGCTTCAGCAGGAAGGACTGATCGTCGGTTGGGTTGATGGGCTCATTGCCAGGTCCTTCAATACCCTCAGGAATGGCCTCCTCCAAAGGCTTAGCACTGACGGCCATGAAGCACACAACCAGGCAAACAAATACGGTCTGTAAATAGGCAAACATAATCCACAATTAGTTGAACGTTATATCCATAGCAGCAAGACGTCTAGTGAGGCACGCACCAAAAGAATGAATTTCATGGTGATTGAGTTTTGATATTTGACTCCTTGACTGAAAAGTAACTGAGTGTTGATTGATGATCTCGCGGTTCGCGTTGACAGACTTGCACTGATCTTAGAGACCGCTGACCACCTATTTATATGAGAGTTTCGAGCCGGTCTGTGCGATGTGATGCGGTGCGCAAGCGCGATCGTCTTTCATAGATATTAAAACAACACATCGTCACAATGGAAGCTCCAAAATATCTTTGTCGTATCTACGAACTGCGTAGCCCAACAATAAATTTTGTTTGGACTATTAAATGTGATTTTAGTGTACCACGCAAGGCGGTCGGACGTGTGGAAAAATAAAATATAAAGCAAACTGATATATACATATATTTTTTTTTTCGTAAAGACCACTTTTGTTGTTATAGGCCCCAATGTTGGGCTAGTCGGCTGGCAAATTGCTGTATTGACTAACATCTGGATGTGGGTTTTCGCTAATATGTGTTTCCTTGGTTCTGAGTTCTATTTGATTTGACCATTAGCTAATCGTTAACCCAACTCTCGCTCTCACTGAATAGTTATTAGCGTCTTCATTGTTGGGCTCAGTTTGGTAATACATATGTATGTGTTGCCATTTTCGTTGGATTTTAACATTTCATCACCTTAATGATCAAAACTCAATTTGGCATAGAATAATCATTTAAAAATATTTGACAAGCTCAAACATTCTTTAGTCGAGGTCGTAGCAGTCTATTCATTCGGAAACATACATATCTTAACTAGGCGACGATTACTTTGACTCCCATTGTAAATAGTATTTACTATTTACTTTTAACAAATATGTAAGTGACAAAATTTAAAATTCAAATATTTACCGCTTTAAAAATGCTGCAAGGGATTTTTTAGTGCATTTTTATGGTTATGCGTATCGGCTGTCCCTCCATCAATATGGCAACAGTGTGGCAGCACTGAGACTCGCGATAGCCACATAATATTTTCTGCCCCCATCTCTAGCTCGCATTAAACAATAAGCAAAAGAACGATAAAAATAAAAGTTATTAGACAATAAACACTCTTAACCAAATCAGGGCATAATTCCAAAACCTCAAAATTGAGAATTTATAAAATACCACGCAATTAATTTTCGGCAAAAAACAAACCTCGAATCATAATAATGACTGGATCATTTAGTGTAAAGCTAAAAACGAAGAAAGGTCAATTCATTGTTAATGACCTAAACGAAAATATAACAATAGCTGAACTTAAAACACGGATATGTCAAGCTACGGAAATTAAGCAACCACAATTGCACGTTCTGGTGGGTTTTCCGCCGCGACCGCTGGACCTCAATGATGAGCAACGTAATCTGCGCTCCATTGGTATCCAAAGTGGCGAGACGTTGATTGTGGAAGAAAAGGTGGCGCCTGTAGTCGACCATTCTGCAATCATGGAGGATGACGAAGCGCTGGCGCGTCGTCTTCAAGCTGAGGAAGATGCAGAGCATCTGCGTCAGGTAACAACAAGCAATACTGAACTGAACGCCCTTAGCACTGGCGCTCAGTCCAGCAACAGTGGGAGTGAGAACGCAACTGTGTCCGCGCCCACGGAAGCCGGGCCCAATGGCGACTTCAATGGGATTCTGTTGAAGAAGGTTGTGCCAGCGGATAACTCATGTCTCTTTACGAGCATACGCTTCGTGCTGAATGGCAAAGTCGATAACGAAGGCAGCGAAATGATGCGGCATATAATCGCCCAGGAGGTAGCTGCCGATCCACAGCAATATAATGATGCCGTCCTTGGTAAATCGAATGCCGAGTATTGCGCCTGGATACAAAAGGCGGACTCATGGGGTGGTGCCATTGAAGTATCGATTTTATCTAATTATTATGGCATAGAAATCGACGTTGTTGATATACAAAATGCCATTATCAATCGATTTGGTGAAGATAAGAACTTCGGGCTGCGAGTGTTCCTACTCTTCGATGGCATACACTATGATCCACTTTACATGGAGACATCACAAAGCGCCTCCCCAGCTACCATCTTCCCTGTAGAGGAGCTGGGCGTTTACCAGCAAGCGGAGCAGCTGGCAAACGAAGCAAAGTCCTCGCGACAATTTACAAATGTCGATAAGTTCAATCTTCGCTGCTTACAGTGTGATCTACTGCTTGTGGGCCAAACACAGGCCCAACAGCACGCCAAAGCTACGGGTCATGCGAACTTTGGAGAAATTTAATACGTACTGATTTTTGGCACCATTTATATTTTGGCTTTTATTCTGTTTGCTTATTACATACTCACAACGTAGAGTTTCGCAGCTAGAGCCAACTATTTATATTTGAAAATTATTTAGCTAAATTTACAATTTACCAACTTCCGCAGATAATTTATTTAAAACTTTACTCTCTACACATCCAAGCCATTGTTTTGAGTTTTTGGATAATAAAGTTTCATTCATTTAACTAGCAGCAACCAAATGGTGATACACATTTTATTACGAAGCCCAAGGCGGCGTCATTGCAGCTGGATTCTGCAGATATGACATGACCACAGCACTTACACTCAACATGAAGGAAGATAACACCTGCAAATTGCTCATTAATACAGTGACCTCAATACTATAGTCTTTGTACGCACCTGTTTGGCATCGTCGCTGGCGCGTGAGCTGGAGAAACTAATGCAAGAACAGTAGAGTGCAAACCAGGCACACCATTTAAGCTAGGGGAGAAGCACATCATGTAAATTTATATTGATGTCAATTAAGAAGCGGAAATTACCTTCATCATCAGACCGCACATCGAGAAAATCATTCCCAGAATATTCATATAGTCCGGCATCATGTCCTCATTGGCACCACCGCCTTGTCCCTGGTTCTTCGGTGCCTTGTAGCGATTGATTTTTTCTTTTCTACGCGGATCAACAGAATAATTCATTTTTTTATGCTTTCAGGTCGAGCAGATTAGGTGAAAAAACTGAAATTTTATTTAGCAGTGCAAAGGGAATGTTGATGTTGCCACATTGATTAAAAACATCTGTATGCCATTCACATGCAACGTACGCAATCGAATGACAATGCTTGTTCTTCCACTCAGCAGTAACAGTTCAGCGGCATGCACATTTAAAAAACTTATTAAATTACATAAAATTCAGAGAAAATTACCGCACTTTAAAATGGCGTTGCGTTTTTTCAGTTTAACGCTGAGACCGCATATGTGCCGCATACAGCAACGCACACCGAAGCATGGCTTACAACTAAAGAACATACTTCAATTGCAATCAAGATTGCCGGTTTTGCAGTGGGAACAAATATCTCTGCTACACGTGCGTATTACGGATCAGGATGCCGGCTTGCAGACGAAAAGGGAGGCAAACAGGCCGACAAATCCATTTCAAGATACAATTTTAGATGAGGACCCGAGAAGGCAGTCGCCTGAGCGCGCTCACCGAAACAAATTCAAAAGCTCTAATCATTTCGAAAAGGAGACCGAGAAACAAGAAAAAGTAAAGCAAAAGCAAGAAAAGGAAACGGTGACAAATTTCGGAGATCCAGATACATTTGGCGATGCCAAGTTCAGCAGTACACAACCAGAAGATCCCGGCGACGCGCAGGAAGAAGAGTTTATTAGCAGACCCACGCGACACTCACGAAAACTTCGAACCAAAGAATACGCACGCATGATAAAGGAGCACTTAATTGCGCGCCGTATTAATGATGCCATTGCTGTGCTAGAAGTGCGCATGCTGCGGGAGGATCGTGTGAAGCCAGAGAACTATATTTACAATTTGCTAATCAGCGGGTGCGCCAAGGCGGGCTATACTCGCAAAGCATTCCGTTTGTACACAAAAATGCGTCAACATGGACTGAAAGTCACTGGGGGAACCTACACTTCCCTCTTCAATGCATGTGCCAATGCACCCAGTCAGGTTGATGGCTTGAGCAAGGCGAGGCAGCTGCGCGAGAACATGTTGGAGAAGGGCTACGAACCAAACTTGAAGAACTACCATGCCATGATCAAAGCGTATGGTCGTTGCGGCGACATCGAGACTGCATACATGTTGGCTGATGAGATGCTCGATCGTCAGCTACCGTTGAATGCGGAGAGCTTCAACTTCCTACTACAAGCCTGTGCGAGCGATGAGAAAAATGGTTTTCGACATGCGTTGCTCACCTGGCACAAGATGCTCCAGCTTGGAATAAGTCCAGATTACTACAGCTTCAATAATATGTTGCGCTGCGTCCGGGATTGTGGTTTTGGAGATCTGGAGTCCATGCAACAGGTGCTGGAGCAAATTGCCCCAGGTGTAGCCAGCGGTGAGCTGCCAGCGGGAAAAGAAAAGCAGCTGGAGTCGACTCCTGCTGATAGCTTATCCATTACACCCAGATCCGGAGAAGTCAATCAGCTGGAATTGTCAACTCAACCCACGGAACAACTAGAGCTACCTAATCTGCTGCTGCCACGCCCACAGCTAGGCAGTGTAGTTGCCTTGGCTGAAGTGACACGTCCACATGAACGGTTTCTGCTGTTGGGCGGCATCACTGGCTATTTGGAGCTGATGAAAGTGCACAATGTAACGCCAAATATTGAATTCTTTACCACCATGTTGGAGGTTGTTCCACCTACCAATGCAGCAGAGAAGCAAGTGCTAAGCTTCGTGCGTAGGATTGGACTCAAGGCAGATATTGACTTCTTCAATATACTTATCAAGAAGCGTTCTATGCGCTTCGATTACGAGAGCGCTCGCGAAGTCCTGAGTATGATACGTACAGCAGGCTTGAAGCCGGACATTGTGACCTATGGCGTTCTAGCACTTGGTTGTCGCACCCAGGAGCAGGCGCGCGAACTGCTACAGCAAATGAAGGAAGCGGGTATACGTATGAATATGCCCATACTGGGGGCTATGTTGCGACAGGGCTGTGCACAGAAGTCCTTTGCGTACATCAACGAAATCATGCAACTGTGTTTGGAAGAGGGCATAAAACCAAACGAATCATTTTTGCGCCATTTGTACAACTTTCACAGAGGTTGTGCCAGAGCCATAGATGCTAGGGTAATTTTTTGACGGTTATTAAACGAACTACAGTATACGTAATACATATTTTCTATTCGCAGCATCCCTCAACTAAAACTGAAGGCTTCAAGAGGGGGCACTCCAAATTCTGTGATAAATACCGCCTGTTTTACGAGGAGCATGGTCTAACCGGCTTGAAGCTGGAGGACGCTATTGCTAAGCTGAAACCACGTGCCTACGAACAATACACGGAAGATCCCGTCACTGGGCAAGAGCCAGCGAAACACGAGCAAGTGAAACGGAAAACCAAATTACGCAAATATATTAAGAAAATCAAAATTAATGAGCTGCAGGATGGACCACAGCTGTCTGATCCAGTAAAAAGAATAGAATAGTCATTAAATGTAAGTTTAACATTTTTAATATTTAAGTAATCGTTGAATATAGATGATGTTAACCAATCATTGTGCGTTTGCGCCCGCGAGCACGCACTTCCTCAAACTTGGCCAACACGGCTTCCTCGTCCTTGCCGCACTCTTTTTGATATGCTGCCAGGATATAGTCGAATAGATAAGGTTGCTCGCTGTGTGTGCTCAAGAGAGCTCGCTCCAGCACATAGAGATCCACGCCCTTATCTTCTGTTGCCTGATTATAATGACTTAATCCAAAATCTATGAAAATGATATCATAGCCAGTCGCATTTGGGTTGATTAGAATATTTGATGTGGTCAGGTCGCCATGTATTATATTGTTGGCATGCATTTTGCCAATGATGCCGCCAATCTGCGTGCACAGCTTCTCCAGCAGCGGTTTGGCCTGCTCTTCGCCCGACTCGTTGACTGTTTTCTGTATAAATTGTTTTGCCGTTTGTGCACTGCCAAAGTACTCCATATACAGTTTGTGTGTATTCAAATCGGAATGGAAAATACGCGGCGCAAGAATACCAGCAGCCAGGCAACGGCCAGCTGCCTTCACCTCGGCCTTCATGCGTTGCCGCGTAATTTGTGTATCTAAATCTGGATGACGATATTTTTTGACAAAGCGTTCCTTTATCAGACACGATTCACCTTTGAATTCGCCAAGGTATAGACGACCCTCAGCGCCTTGTTTCAGTATATCTAATGTCATGCTTAATGCAAAAAAAATAAAATAGAATAACACCGGTAACTCAATCTCAATTAGCAGCAGCCGAAACTGATTGCCATTCGCTAATATTTTAGTCATTCACAGGGCAGCGCTAACAGCTGACAAAGAAACAGCTGATTCTATTTTGATATTTACACACATCAAACACCAGATTCAATAGTGATTCATCTTTTGAAAATCCCTGCCCTTTCGGCCATAAAAATTAGAGAATTATAATGTTTAACAATATATTTGGTAAAAAACCTACCGTAAAGGAGCAACAACGTGAAAATGATCGCAGCCTGCGCAAAGCGACGCGCGATATAGAGCGTGAGCGCCGAAAACTGGAAGAGGAGGAAAAGAAGCTAGAAGCTGAGATCAAACGCAATGCAGCAGCTGGAAACAATGATGCATGCCGTATTCTGGCTAAGCAACTGATAGAAATTCGCAAACAAAAATCTCGTAGCTATGCCGCTGCCGGAAAAATCCAATCCATAGGCTATCAGAATAAAAACATGGGCGCAAACATAGCCTTGGGCGAGGCAATGGGAACCACAGCCAAAACTATGGCCACCATGAACAAGGTGATGCGCCCAGAGGCAATAGCAGGCACAGTGCGTGACTTCCAACAGGCGAATATGCGCATGGAGATGACAGACGAAATGATTAACGACACGTTGGACGACATGCTGAACGAGTCCGGTGATGAGGAGGAATCCAACGATGTGGTCAACAAGGTGCTCGACGAAATTGGCATCGAAATCTCTGGAAAGATGGCCAGCATACCAGCCGCAGGGTCTGGCGAGTTCGAGACTAGCGGCAAACGTACCGAAAAAGACATTGCAGATCAGTTAGCCAAGCTGAGGTCTTCCTAGATATTCCTAGCTATAAAATGTTAACTTTGCTGTGCTTAATCCCTCCCACAACTATATTGGAAGTTTTTTGTACACACATTTGTTATTCATAGGCGATAAGACATACAAATATAAGTATATACACATGCATCACACTAAAGTCGAGCACTCATACCACCAGAGGCAACGACTGACTCGCCTGTTATATAGCCAGCATCCTCAGAGACGAGGAAAGAGACAACTCCAGCCATTTCCTCGCTGGTGCCTAAACGACCCATGGGAATTTTGCTAAGCGCAGCTTCATTGGCAGCTTCGTTCTCGTAGAGCGCTTTCGAGAACTTTGTGCGGATGATACCAGGTGCCAAGCAATTGACACGAATGCCTTCAGGTGCCAAATCCTTGGCCGCTGCCTTGGTCAAGCCAATCAACGCCGTCTTGCTCACAGAGTATGCGCCTAGCAGCTGTAGATAAAGCCGCAGATGAAGATAAGGCCTTGTTATATTGATAAAGCACTGACCTCAAATGCATCGTAGCCAGCTATAGATGAAACAAAGACGATGCTAGAGCCCTTTTCTTGCCGCAGATAAGGCAGTGCCTCTTTCGCCAACAGATAAGAGCTCTTCACATTCACATCGAAGATCTTGTCCCACACTTTCTCATCGCATTCCAGCACGCCGCCAACGGCAGGATTAGTAGCAGCATTACTAACCAAAATGTTTAGCTTGCCATATTTGCTGATGGTCTCCTCGAAGAGCTGCTTGCGATCTTGCGCTTCGCTCACGTGGCACTTGAGTCCATGCACATTAAGATTCAGTTTGCGCAGCTCGGCAAGGGCATTGTCCACATTCTTTTGCTTGCGGCTGCTGATGACCACCGCAGCGCCATCCTCAGCCAAACGCTTGGCAATTGCAAAGCCGATGCTAGAAAATAATTTAATATATGTATGTATATATAAATATAATAGAGTAGTACATCATTGGAGCTTACCCATCTGTGGAGGCGGTAACTACTGCAACTTTTCCTGCTAAACGCTTCATTCTGTTGACGTTTGTACTTTGACTGGCACTGCCGCTGGATAACCGTTTGTGGCAAAGATTGTGGTTAACGAGTTTGTTACTATTGTTATTGTTGCTATTATGTTGATTAAGATTTCTAATCGATGTTGCGTTTTGCGAGCTATTTTGGACTTTGCCTCCAGACAAAACGGAGGCAGCGGTCAAATTGAGCTTTGGCGCCCTATTGGCCAGTTGCTTCCCAATATGCAACATATTTTTAGAAAATTTCCTAATGTGATGTGAGTTGACACTGTAAGCGAAATTGATTTTCCGCACTTTACTTCTTTTCAGCGATTCCTATATGATCAAGACAAACAGTTCCAGTTGGAACTTGTTTTGTTTATTGCGGCTGTTGCCATTCACCACGAAATCGAAAGCTTTCTTTGAGCGCGCTTTTTGAATTGCAGCTGTAATTGAATTGCGTATTTTCTTTTAGCTGCAGGAATAAATAGTCTTAAAATACTCAGTCCGTTCGCAAAAGCTGCATTTCTGATTTTGTATATATGAATATCTTAAAAAATATCGTAATATATACCAAAGAGCATGCATACCTCCTTTTGGTTCGTAGACCTCAATCGTTAGATAAGAAATGTTGAAATAAAAAACTTCACAACTTAAATAAACATTGTCCGCACGCATTATATATGATCTCGATTTCGTAACATGATAAATAAAGATAAATATGAAGAGGGGAAAAACAAGTACTTACCGTCACACTGAAAGTGAATAAGAATCGTTGACGAATAATCGCCACCACAACATCTCAAGTCATATTAAGAAATAATCGCAACAACAAATGCAAATGTTTACTCTCAGCTGAAAGTGCAAATTAATAGGTAGACGGAGCGGCTTTAGTTGTTGTTTCATTACGCTACTCCATACCCAGCCCCAGTCGAAAATCGTACTTTCGGCAGTTTAGTTGCTCCGTGTCGTTCCTACTGTTCAAACCGCTTTTTACCAGAGCTCCGGGACTCAGTCAACGGCACGCGGCTAACGGTTTTCGTTTTCGCATAGCATGTGATATAACCAAATATTTCGAATTCACAATATTAGCAAAATATGAATAACCAAGCAAACGAAATAGCACCTGCAGAGCCCGCACCACAGGATTTCAAGGCACCTGTGTTTAGCGATGACAAACTCGTGCTCTACTTCCACCCGTACAACTTCTACTCGCAAAAAGTTAGTTGACAATTGAAGTCATGTGATTTTCAAGAGAAAGAAAAATTTATTTAATACGTTACAGAGCACGCAATTGGTGTGCTTCAAATTGTGAAGGCTGTCTATCAAATGGCGCGAAATTACAAAACTAATCGTAGTAATTGTCTTTATTATTCAATGCTATATGTGTGTATATGTAGCTGTGACTAGGCTGGAGTTCTCTATAAACTCTCTATAAAGCACTCATCCCCCTGCTCTGTTAGCAGTGCAATCGTGCTTGACGGGGGCGTATGAATAATATCTAATTTAAGATCGGCTTGACTCTCAGCACAAATAGCTTTTAATTGATTCGGCTTTTCATTATTTTTTCCCTTTTGATAGTATCAATAAATAATATTATTTAACTGTTTACCTTGATGCAGGTGCTAATGAAGAATATGAAATATCGCTGAGCGTTAAATAAACAAATATGATAGAAAAGCTCAAATAGTACAAGTAAATAATTAGAAAGCCTGTAGTTATTAATATAAAACATACATATATACATATATATGTGACATACATATACATTCGACATATTTTATTCATAGACTTGCGGTCAACCAAAATTAATTAAATATTTCTTGTTTTATTTATAGGTTTTGCTGGTGCTGTATGAGAAAAACATTGACTTCACTCCCTACGTCGTCGATCTGTGCAATGGCGAACAGTATTCCAGTTGGTTCCTAAATCTGAATCCCAAAGGCGATGTGCCAGTGCTGCAGGATGGCGCGTTCATCATACCCAACTCGCCGCAGATTATCAACTATGTAGAGTCGAAGTTTAGAGGAGGTAACTGATTTACTACAGGGTATATTGGTATAGTTAATGTAAACAAAGAATACTCTTTGCAGAGCGTCACCCCACCCTGAAACCATATAGACCAGATTCGCTGGAATATGATAAGATGAGCACATTTGAGCGCGCCTTTACACGTCTGCCGGTGGGCGCACTTAGTCTGGGCTCCTTTATCCACGACGATCTTAAGCTGTCGCCCAAGGCTCCCTTCATTGGTCCCGTGCGGCAATCCTGCCTGAGTGAGCAGTATAAATGAGCAAAAGAGCTGTGTCTATTTAATAATCCCTTTGGTGTCTCACTATCTCGCAGAGAACAATGACAAGGTCATGGACATGCTGCGTCGATCCATGGATGAGACAGACTCGACCATCTGTTTAAGTGCACTGAAGCAGAAGCTAGATATTCAGGTGCGTCGCAGAAATCTTGTTGCCTCACGTACAGACTTTCAGCGTGTGCTGGATGCCGTTCGCAACGTGTTGCTCTTCGTTGAGCAGGAGCTGTCAAAGCAAAGGCCACGAAAGGAGTGGCTCACGGGCGACGAGCTCACGCTGGCTGACGTCAGCTTGGGTCTGCTGCTGCAGCGGCTCTATCAGCTGGGCTTTGAGAACTATTATTGGGGCTACGGAAAGCTGCCGTTGGTGGAGGGATTCTTTTTGCGGTTTAAGCAACGGCCCTCGTACCACAAACTGATGCCCAGCAGCAATTTCGAGATACTGAAGGAGATGTGGAGCATGACGCCTGCCAATTACAAGCTGGGAGCCACCGCCGGTTTCTTGGGTATGGCCATGTTCGCAGCCTTTGCGCATAAGTAGGCGGCAAGATGTTTGTTAACAATCGTTTTATTGTTATTGTTAAAGTTGGGCACATATAAACACAAACAAAAGAACGCTTAAGTCTACGTGGTAACAATGCAAGCAAGATGCGGAAGGCAGAAACAGTGAATGAGAGATGAGTGAGAGAGCGGATCGTCGAGACCCCTATGAGCTATGAACAGCGCACCACGGTAATGTGCGAGCCTCAAAATTACTGATATCATTGTACATTCGTGTTTATAAATTTCATTTGGTATTAAGTTCTATTTGGTACAAAAGATTTCGCTAGCCACTACCGGTTAAAATGACTCCCTTATCCAATATAATTCAATTCCTGTTTTCTGTAGCTGGGTCACATAAGCTTGGGTTTAGCTGTCCACGCCCGCCTGCTGTTGCTCCCGCTTGAGCTTTTCCGCTTGCAGCAAACCGGCAGCTGCAGTGGCTGCTTTCGCATTGGTAAACAACGGCATGCCCATGAATGTGGGTATCTGCTGCTGCTGCTGTTGCGTCGGCTGAGTGCTCAGTCTGCTGGCTGACCATTGACCACTGCCATTGGGGTTTGCTTTCTGTCCACTGGCAGACGACTGACTGCTGCCAGATGGCATGGAGGTGTGTAAATGCGTTGGCCGCCTGATGGGAAAGTTCTCGCGCTGATAGTAGAAAAGACCATTGCCTGGAGCCTCGGGCAGCAGCCCATTGGTGGGATACCAGAACCGATACGTGAAGTACCACGTCAGAATTGCAATAATGCCGCTGATGACTTTCTCGATCATGCGATGATAGTACAGCATGGTGCCCACCAACATTATGTCCCACAGCAGCTGCAGACCCGCCATGCCAATGAACAAGGTGCGAATGATGGGCGTCAGACGCGTATATAGAAACTGTAGACTACGTATTTGCTCATCGTTCAGATTGCGCAAGGGATTGCTGCTTGATTTCTCGGAGACACTGCGATTGTGTAGCTCATTGCGCAGATGCTCCTTGATCGTCTCCCACTTGATGATGGGTCGCGCCTCCTCTATCAGCACCAGACTTGAGTGTATCAGAATAAACGCATGTCCAGAGATGTCAAATCCCTGCCATAAATGTCCGGCTTTCAGGCAACTAGACTTGCTCTGGAAGCCTACAAGCAAGAAGATCTGCGTTAATTTGTGTATTCTGTATATATTATCAAACCTACCTTTGGTAGTGCAGCGACCATACGAGGTTTCTACAATATTGAAGAGCTTTGTCCAGAAGAACCAGAAGAACGTAGCTATCACAATACGTGGAAAGTGATGCCTCAGCATGCGCTTCATGTCGCCGCAGGTAATCGTGTAGGCGGAGAGCACCGCAAAGGGCACTGCGAACAGGAGGGTCCAGCCCCAGCCAACTTTGACGAAGTACAAGTTGAACAGGTTGTCAGAGCGGGCAAAATATGTCTTGGGAAACGGCAAGAAGTCGCCTATGAGCGAGATGATAAATAAACTTCCCAAATATAAAGCCACTTTCAGGTCCGTATTAAAGAATATTGTCTTTTTGCAGAGATGTATGACTCCCATAACTAAAATTTCACGTATGCTGGTGGGCGCAGCAGTTGGACGCGTGCCCCGCGCTTCGCCTCGAGTTATATCGGGACCACCAGGCCGAAAGTTCATATTGGAACTGCTAGGCTGACCAGACCCAGCTGTTGGTCGTAGAGGACGCCGTTTTGACATTTTGACACGAAAATCTGGTTTACTTCGTTCCGGTAGAATATATTTGCACTTTGGCAAGCTATTTTATACTACGCCGTTTTATTGTTGCCGTTTTTGGTTATGGTATTATGTTAGGCCAAAAGTGAAAGCGGATTTGTAACGAAAGTGTCAAAGTTCAAATTTCATTATACTTAATACGCTATAATTTAGTTGCGTCGATCAGTCCAAAGTGTTATGTATTTTATTGAAATTTTCATATTATTTTCACATAGCACGAGAATATTTTTGTTGTTGCTTTATTCTTATTCGTTGCATATTTTAGTCAAAATATGCAGCTGTTGCTTCAGCCAAAAAATAGAACACAAGTCCCCTGCGCTCACAAGCGAATGTCAACACGTTCACATGCGAACACCAATTCTGATCAGCTGTGTGCGATTCTGATCTGATTCGGTTGTTTAATTACCGGCTCAGCTGCTGGGTCCATATTGCTCTCGCATGTAATTAAGACTGCAATTAATTTGGCATGTACAACTCGGCCAAAAAGCTACAGCGTGTGCTCACAGCACGCGAAATTCGGAAAACATTCATCGATTACTTTACGGTCAACCATGAACACAAATTTGTGCGCTCCAGTCCGGTGGTGCCCTTCTGCGATCCCACCGTCGCATTCGTCAATGCAGGCATGAACCAGGTGAATACCAAGCATTATTAATTTGATTAATCTATTGTACGCTAATAAGACGTCCTGCTTTAGTTCAAGTCCATTTTTCTGGGCACAGCTGAAGCACCGTACAAACGTGTCGTGAATTCCCAGAAATGTGTACGAGTCGGTGGCAAGCACAATGACTTATCGGTTGTGGGTCAGGATGGATACCATCACACGTTCTTCGAGATGCTAGGCAACTGGTCTTTTGGTGATTACTTCAAGGTAAATACAATTACATCGGTACGTGGGCAATGCACTTATGAGTTTCTTGCAGCGGGAAGCTTGTGCAATGGCATTGGAGCTGCTGCGCGGCCCATACAACATTGATCCTTCGCGTTTGTATGTCACCTACTTTGCCGGCGATAAACTGCTTGGCATACCAGCCGACATGGAGTGCTTCGAAATTTGGCGGAGTTTGGGGTAAGAGATAATTAGTTACATAATGCATAATGAAATTTAATCACTTTTGCCAAACAGTTTTCCGGCTGCACGCATCTTGCCTTTCGGCTGCAAGGATAACTTTTGGGAAATGGGCACAACCGGTCCGTGTGGACCTTGTACTGAAATACACATAGATCACAGACCTGGTGATGGTCCAGCTAGTATTGAGCAGCGCGCAAAGCTAGTGAATGCGGGTCGTCCAGACCTCACTGAGCTTTGGAATTTGGTGTTTATACAATACAATCGGTTAGTGGCAAAGCCCGTGCAATGAGAAATTTAATATTTAATTGAATACCTGATATGTGTAGCAATGCAGATGGCAGTATAACACAACTGCCCGCTCAGCACGTGGACACGGGCATGGGCTTCGAGCGATTGGCTGCTCTGCTACAGAACAAATCCTCCAATTACGACACGGATCTCTTCACACCGTTATTTGATGCCATACATAGTGTAAGTTTATACCGATTTACTGGATTATTAAGCAAGCTCAAATCTAGCCTTTGTTTCACAATTAGCTCTCCAAGGCACCCGTGTATACCGGCAGCTTTCCCGATGATCAGAACGCCGCGCTACTTGACACGAGCTACAGAATACTTGCCGATCATGCACGCATGGTGACAGCGTGCTTGGCCGATGGCATGTTGCCGGATCAAAAGTTAGTTGGAAGTACTACAGAATTAACTTCTTTCACAACTAATTATTTTCTATGCACAGCCAAAAATTGCGTCGCGTGTTACGAAAGGCACTGAGTATATCGGAGCAGGTATTTGCACATGATAAACTTCTGTCACAGCTGGTACCTATTGTAGTCGAGACGCTTGGCGAGGCTTATCCGGAAATGTCGACCAAACAGCAGGCTGTTATCGAGTTGATTGCCCACGAGCAGGAGGTGTACAAAAATCTGCGTGAGAGTTCATCTAAGGCTTTTGCCGAGGTTCTAACTGAGTTTCCCAAACTGGATGACATTGATCTAATGGAATGCCCTGGTTTCGTTCCCGCCTATCGAGAATTTCAAGTGCAACGCTCAAATTTTCCCAACAATACGATACCCGGTGAATTTCTATACAAGCTGACGGACACCTATGGCCTTACCGAGGAGAGTTTCCTGAAGCTAGCCGAGCTAGAAAACATGAACTGTGATTTGGATCGTTATCGTGCCGAATTGGCGCTGGCCAAACTTAAAACCAAGGAGCCACAGAATAACCGTGGCGACTTCGACCTGGCCCTTCAGCAGCGCATCGCAGATGCACAAGCGCAGCTCACCAAGCGACTGGCATCCACTGACAACAGTTACAAGTATATATACAGCTATGATGAAGAAAACGAAACCTATGCGATCCCGATGCTGAAAAGTTGCGTCCTAGGCATTCTACAAGACGACTCGGAAGTTTCTCGCATTCGCCCAGAAACGTCTCTCAAAACGCTCTCAATTGTCACAGCTGCAAGTAATTTCTACTTCGAATCTGGTGGTCAGCAATCGGATCTTGGAAAGCTGTTAGTGCACAACAAACAGAAGCCAGAAGAGCCTCATCAGTTGGAAGTAGTTGGCGTAAAGCACCTCAATGAGTGTGTGGTGCATGTTTGCCGCCTGACCACACCCAGCGACGACTTCGATCTGGCCGTTGGGGATGAGGTGCAGCTCGAGGTAGATGCCAAGCATCGTCAGTTGAATGCGTGCCACCACACAGGTAGGTATTATATATGAGCAGGGAAAATGATTGTTTAAATTAATGCCCCTTTTAATAGCCACCCATCTCCTGAATGCCGCCATACGATCTCTCTTCAATAAAGTGACATATCAGGTTTCTAGCGCAGTGAGCAGTGAGCAGTGCAAGTTGGAGCTAGGCCTCTTGGGCAAGCGCATAAGCAAAGCCGATGTGCAGCACATTGAGGATCTGATCAAGTGAGTAACGCCCTACTATTATTTCACACTTCTATGCAACTAATCCCCTTTTCGTATAAAGCCGCGCAATCTGCTCAGCCACGCCCGTCCAAGTACATCAGCTCAGCGCAGCCGATGTGCTGCAGCAGAACGATATCACTATGGTGCCCGGTGAAGTTTACCCTGAGCAAGGACTGCGTCTGATTAATGTGCAATGCCCAGAGCTAAATCTGAGCTCCAAGGAACTGTGCTGCGGCACGCATGTGACCAACACGAAGGAGATGTCCTGCTTCTGCATTGTTAATCTCAAGCAAACCAATAGAGCCCGCTATGCCTTTACAGCCGTAGCTGGACAGGCTGCAGAGAATGTAAGCTATCGTAGCATTCTGTCCAACTTCTTGACCTAATATTTCCCTTTCTTGGATAGGTTCTAAAAACAGCAGCACTGCTACGTCATCGTGTGGACGTGCTGGAAAATCAGTTTCAAACAGACAAGCTAACAAATGCCACGGAAACCGAACTGCAGACCATACGCCAAAACATGCTGCACTCGGACATAAAGCTGCCCTACGCTTTTAAGATGGACACGCTCGATCGCATCAATCAAATGCTACGTAGACTTAAGGAGACATCGCGCACAACCCTTAAGTAGGTGTATCAAATTACCATTTCAGACACAAACTAATATCTCGTCTTACAGAGAATTTGTGGAAGTGGAAATGCGAAATGTACTACTCGAAAAGCCGCTTGATACGCATCCCTACATCCTACACTTTATAAGCAGCTCAGCGCTGGTTGAGGAGATTCCCTTGCAACGTGCCACGAAATTATGCACAGATCGTCCCATTCTGGTTGTAAGCATGTGTGATAATATAGTCAAAGCGCGCTGCTGTGTGCCGCAGGTAAATCCACTCATTTTATTCTTATATAACATATTGACTCTTGTCTATCTTATCAGAACTGCATTAGCAAGCAATTTAATGCTTCGCTTTGGCTGCAATCGTTTGCGGAAACTTTTAATGGCCAAGTGGCTGCGCCCAAGGGTCAAAATCCCGAAGTCGTCTGCAACATGAAAGGACGCAAAGTTAACACACAGTTCGAGGAGCAATTGGAGCAGGCGATGCGCAATGCTCAACTCTATGCCAAACGTTATTTGGAGTTTTAATTTGCCCCAGAGTAAACGCAAGCTATAAGTTTGCTATTGTTAAATGGGAATATATTGCAGACTATTAGATGTACATAAAGAGAAAAACTTAATCGCTGTCACTGATTACCACCAAATCCTCTTCCGAGTGCTTCAAAGATGACTCCATCAACTGCTCGAAAGCATCGGCACCTTCAACACTTTGATTAAAGAAGTAACTGACATTTGCTGCTGGCTTGACAGACGGCAGTTGTTTGGACTCGTTCGCAGTGGACAGGCGATGCTGCTGTTTGAAACGCTCCACGGGTGTCTTGACCAGGTGTGGCACTTTCTTTAGATCGCCCTTGACTAACAGATCAAAACTGTCGTCTAACGAGTAGCGCTTGGCCAATGGCATATTCTCAGTCCTCATGGAGATATCGCGGCGCTTTTGAACTAGCAAATCTACATCATCGATCAGTAAGCTTTGCTGGTGTGACACATCATGCTTGTCCAAGCTGAGTTGTGCTAAACGAAGGCTTAAATCGTCCGCCAACGGTTCATAGTGGAGCTGGTATCCGTCGTGCTTGGTCACAGCAGGCACTGCTTGCGGATTGGAAACAATGCCATTGATAATGTCGGACATATCAAACTCGGCGTCGCTCTCCAAATCAGAGGGCAAGTGCTTGTTAAGAGGCGTGGAGCATTGGTTCGCCAGCTGACGAGAGGACTTAATAGGTGTATTCTCCTTCTGCTTAAGGAAGTGCTGCATTGTTTTTTGTCCATGCGTTGGTGGATTAGTAGGCACCTTCTTTTTACCGCGCTTAGGTTTTGTGATAATCCCTGCTGTTGTCGCTGCCAAATCCGACAGATTCTCAAGTGCACTGAGCGGCGCATCTGAATTTACTTTCTTCTTGCGCGTTGCTGTCTTTTTGGGTGGCTTCTCCTTGGATTTGATGAAGGCTGCTACCATATCTGGATAGGCAGCCTGTAACATGTCCAATGGCTCAACAGTGTAGTAAAGTTCCTCCACGCCCTTTGGATGATCCAGTTTGAATTCTTCAATTTGATCATATGGTATGAGTCCCTTGAAGCAGCCACGAGTGTCTTCCCAACGCAACTCCAGGCTGGCAATTCCCTTCACTGTACGTTTCTTGATAATCTCCTGTGGCTGGACTAGGGCAAGGGCTTCGTTTGGCTGCTGCACTTGCCAGCGGGTGAGCAACGGAAAAAACTTTTGAAAGCAGTAGATTTCTGGCCACTGCAAAAGATGTCCAATCTGTTTGATGAATTTCACGATATTAGGCTGCCTCCAGTCCAGCACCAAATTGGGAAGTTTTGCAGGCTGAGTAAGGAACTCTGATATGATCTCTTCATTAGGAAAATCTACATCCAGCAGAGCCTTTTTGCGCAATGTCAGTTCCGCCTTGATAGACAGCCGTTGTTCTCTAAAGAGAATATAATATTAGGTATAGGGACACAACTAACCAGCTTACTTACTTCCATAGGCTTTCATCACAGCCGCGATGTGTGCGACAGACGCCGCAACCGCTCTTTGTATGGCTTTGTGTGCGTCCAATGTGACCGCAGTTGCTACAAATGGATTTGTCATCCACGCGCAACTCCAGCGCGTTGTATTTATCCGTCTCGGCCCGCCAATTGCGTAATCTGTATAGGAAACTTTTGTTAAAGTGATATGGAAAGTGGAAAATGATTTACCTATCCAATATATCTGATTCCTTGTACTTGTTAAACAACTTAAGTACGCCATCCTTTCCTATGCCGCCTATGCCATCCGGGCAATAATCGCAGCCACAGAGCAACGCCATAACAATAACTTTATTTTGTCCGAAATCCATATGATTACAAATCTCTTGCATATCATAAATATCTACTGCACCACCAGCTGCAGCTTGAGCGCCCTGAGTTGACACGGAAAAGTTTCGGTAGACACGCACGGCACCATACGCAAAACAGTCGGAGTCCTGGCTAATGACACCATCCACTAACTTAGATAAATATAGATGATTAATTTAACCACGTATGGTAAGCAACCGAACTCACTCCGTGCTTATTAAGAAATGCACAATAGGCTTCAGCCTCTCCCGGTCCTTGAACGCATTGTATGCCCATAGACAGCAGTAGATTCTCGCACTGTTTGAGCACATGATTGAAACGAGTGCGTCCTTTATCGCTTTTGGCTACCGCTTGTGAGGGCCCCACTGCATCCTTGTCCTTATCTTTATCCTTGGGTCGCGCACCACGAAATTGCAGCTCATTGCGCTTAGCAATTACCTGACTCTTAAGCTTGGGCGCGGCTCCTTCCAATACAAACACTGGCGTTACCTGTTCCCAAATGAGGTAACACGTACGAAAGAAGAGATTTCTGTGGAGGACATGTGGTAAATAATAAAATATGATAAATAATAATAATTCTTTAATTATTCATTATTCGAGAACTTACTTTAAATGATGCCGCGGATGCACAAAATAATCGACAACATTAAGACTTTCGCAAACCCATCCAGCCAAATCTATGGCAACCTTCTTGCCTCGTAGTTCGCATATGGGTTTGCGATCTGCATAAGGTGTTAAAATGCTCCATAATTCCTTCACGCCCATTAATTTATGAAATACAAAATGAGCGCCTTAATTTTAAAAGAAACCAACAGCATGACTGACATTCACAGTAAACGTAAACAGCTGACTGGCAAATATCTGACATTCACACTCACACATACTCAGACTCGCATTGTTTTGACATTTGCACATGTCCATTTGACTGTCAGTCTCAACTTCTTCTTTGTGTTCGACATTTGACGTGTCAGAGAAAATCAAAAGTTAACTCGTTTTCAATTCGCATGTTTTGTTTTGCATATAAGGCAACTAAATTAAAACGCACGCCGCTGCAATACAGTTAACGTATCACGTAATACGCCAAGATGGTTTTAGCAGATTTAGGACGAAAAATAACGACGGCGCTGCATTCACTCAGCAAAGCCACCGTCATCAATGAGGAAGCCCTAAGTGCTATGCTGAAAGAGATATGCGCTGCGCTGCTAGAGGCCGATGTAAACATACGGCAGGTGAAGCAACTGCGCGAGAATGTACGAGCAGTCATCGACTTTGATGAAATGGCCGGAGGATTGAACAAACGCCGCATGATACAGTCCGCCGTGTTCAAGGAGCTCATCAAACTGGTGGATCCGGGTGTCAAGCCATATCAGCCAGTAAAAGGCAAGGCCAATGTGATCATGTTTGTGGGCCTGCAGGGCTCCGGCAAAACAACCACATGTACTAAGCTAGCCTATCACTACCAGAAACGTAATTGGAAGTCGTGCCTCGTGTGCGCGGATACATTCCGTGCGGGTGCCTACGATCAGATCAAGCAGAATGCGACCAAGGCGCGCATTCCATTCTATGGCAGCTACACAGAAATCGATCCTGTGGTCATAGCACAAGAAGGAGTGGACATGTTCAAGCGCGAAGGATTCGAAATGATTATTGTGGACACATCGGGCAGACATAAGCAGGAAGAGTCGCTGTTCGAGGAAATGTTGGCGGTGGCAAATGCGGTCAACCCGGACAATATCATTTTCGTCATGGATGCCACGATTGGACAGGCTTGCGAAGCTCAAGCAAAGGCCTTCAAAGAGAAAGTGGATATTGGTTCCGTGATTATCACAAAGTTAGACGGCCATGCTAAGGGTGGTGGTGCTCTCTCTGCTGTGGCTGCCACTCAGTCACCCATTATATTCATCGGCACTGGCGAGCACATTGACGACTTGGAGCCGTTCAAAACGAAACCTTTTGTGAGCAAACTTCTAGGCATGGGTGACATTGAGGGACTGATAGACAAGGTAACTATGATACAGCACTCTCCCCTATCAATTAACTAAGTACTTCATGTATTGAACAGGTGAATGAACTGAAACTAGACGGCAACGAAGAGTTGCTGGAGAAGATCAAGCATGGCCATTTCACCATACGCGACATGTACGAACAGTTCCAAAATATCCTGAAAATGGGACCTTTCTCACAGATTATGAACATGATACCCGGATTCTCGCAAGACTTCATGACCAAGGGTGGCGAGCAGGAGTCGATGGCGCGTATCAAGCGCATGATGACAATGATGGACAGTATGTCCGACAGTGAACTGGACAACCGTGACGGGGCTAAACTCTTCAGCAAGCAACCTACACGTTGCACCCGTGTGGCCCATGGCGCAGGAGTCATTGAGCGAGAGGTCAAGGAGCTGATAGCCCACTACACGAAATTTGCGGCAGTCGTTAAGAAAATGGGTGGCGTTAAGGGCCTCTTCAAACAAGGCGACATGACTAAAAATGTGAATCCCACGCAAATGGCCAAGCTTAATCAGCAGATGGCCAAGATGATTGATCCCCGCATGCTACAGCAAATGGGCGGCGTTGGTGGCCTTCAAAATATGATGCGACAGCTGCAACAGGGCGCAGCGGGTGGCCTAGGCGGACTGGGGAACCTGATGGGAGGCTTTGGTGGCAAGTGAGACAAAGCGGGAAGGGCCATCATATGTGTAAAGATTTTTGTATGATTTTGTTTTAAATAGTTCGGTTCTTAGCATTAATTTGTTAACGGTTTACAAGCGCGACAATTATCATCGTTTCCATGGCAACATCTTGTTTAACCAAATTCAATTACAATTATATGTGGCAATAGCGGTAAACAGTGAATGAAATCGATGTAAAACAGTTAACACCTACAGTTAGCGGTCTTCATTTTTTGTACGATTTAATCTGCGCTCTGCGCTTGCATGATCTTAAGCTAGGTTTTATTGTTTAAAAATGGCTTACGAACAATTAAAATTGCATGCATAAGAGTCTGTACGAAATGAAATTAATAAAAACTAAATAGAAATCCAGATAAATTCGGGCAACATTAAGTGCATAAAATACATTTTTTATTCCGTTGTTTTTCTTCAAAAGGCAGTAGCGCCATCTATGGGTCGTGAACATCGCTAATCAAAGCTGGCAGATGCCATGACCAGTTATTTATGGGTAAAGTTAACGCGGCTGGCTTTAAACATCTAAAAATAAAAAATTTAAATACAAATGAAAATATTGGTTGAAAATATTA